CCCCAAAACCCCAAAACCCCTATATGCCTAAAGCTCAACAAATTTTAAATTAGAAAATAGATTTGAGAGTTTGTAAAAAGATATTATAATTAAATTTATAGTTTAAATGCAAAGAAAAGTTTCATCAGTTCAATTCGGTCAGCTTTACGAACAAAAGAGAATTCAGGAGAGAAACATTTAGATTGCCAAGAGCATTCTGGATAGTATTGATTAACTAGAAACTGAGCCAGATGCAGTCAAGAGATGGGGATGGGAACTTATCCAAAATGCTTAAGATGCATCTGATTCATAAAAGCCAGTGAAAATTAGGATAATCTTAGAAGAAGATAAACTTAGATTTATGCATAATGGTAGACCATTCAGTCTCAAAGATATTATGAACCTTGTTGAAAAGGGCTCAGATAAAGAAAGACCTCAATATTATAGTGAAACTCAAACAAACGAAGATGACTTTGACTCTTTCACTCAGCTAAACTCAAGTAGATTTTTGCAATAGACTGATAATGTTAAGATCTTAAGCCTTGATGATATGGTTATTCCCGAGACTACTGGAAGGTTTGGCACAGGCTTTCTTACTACATATTTACTTTCAAAAAGAGTTTCAGTAGATGGTGTCTTTCATCATACTGATGAAGACCAATCTTTCTACAAGAGATTTTAACTAATACTCAACAGAGACACAAAAGATGTCGAAAAGATGTTATTTTATAATCAAAAATCTTCGGAAGTGTTCAAGAATTTAGACGATGATGAAAAATGGCCATTCATAGAAAACTATGAATCTGGAATTAATTATGATACATGCTTTACATATTATCTATCAGAACAAGGGATCAGAAATGCTCACTAAGGACTTAAAAATTTACTAGTTTCGATCCCATATGTCATGGGTTTTAGCAAAAAAATTGAATCAATTGAGATATTTGATAAAATCGAGTAATAGAATTAGCAATATACTTTCAGAATTGATAGGAATCCAATTTTAGCTTATGGAGATATATAGGTACTCAAATACTTCCTTAATGAAGAAGAAAAGCTATTAATATATGCTTTCAATAAGTACTCTTAATTAGCTTGCTTAATTTAGCAGAGACTAGATAATATCTATGAAATATGTGAGAAGGATGATGATGTGCCTAACTTCTTTGTTGATTATCCTTTGATTGGATCTCAATCTCTCAAATTTTCAGTAGTTTTCAACTCTCATTTATTCTATCCAAATGAGAAAAGATCTGGCATTTGTCTTGACGAAAAACTAGGATTTAAGGCATTGTTGAATAGTCTAGTAATGCAAAAGCTATCTGTGTTATTTGAAAATTTCTTAGACTTTGTTATCAATCAAGGATTTGCAAACATTCATCATTTAAGACTTTCTTCAAAGCATTTAGCTGGTAATCAGAAGGCTTTTCTTAACAAACTCCTAATCACTCCTATAATATCAAAATTCGTTCAAACTTCAATAATTGAGTGCAAAGGTGGATTAGCTCCTCTGAAATCAATAATGATTCCAGACATAGGAAATAAAGAACTTTAGGAAAGTAATTAGTAGTAAGTCATTGATTTATGGGATATTCTATCAATGATAAATGATAATTAAAGAGAACTAATAAAGAGAGATTTTCTTTATATTTAAAATTGGATCTAAGTATTTGATGATGAAGACTGGGCCACTCATCTCAATTAAACTTAGAAGTATACTCTAATTAATATTCTAGGTAATTATTTCAATCTTTATATAATATAGATCAAATAAATCAGCAGAAAAATGTTGAGAATATCAGAAATCATTTTTGTATTACTGCTTATGATGATGTGTAGAAATTTCTAGAGAAAATCTATAAATATATTGGATAGTATTAGGATCAAATTTTTATGAAAAGGATATCAGAATTCAAACTATATGTTGATCAAAATAGTTAACTCAAAAGATTGAAAGATTTGAAAATTGACGATGGAATTGATGAATTTTATAAGAAGATATGCTAATAGTATGGTTATGATTTAAGACCAAAGTTATTTTAGAATAATTATATCCCTCTAAATTATCAGAATGTACCTAGAATGAGTGTTGAATAGCTTGATGATGATCTAACAGCATCTCTCAATAGAGTGTTAGATAATCTCAAGTAATCTATTAAACCACTTAAATCTTAGAAAAACTTTGTATCTTCAATATTCGTAAATAATGCGCCAGCTGGAATATTTATTCAAAATTAGCAATGCAGCTTAAATATTCTTAATTCTTCTTATTTACAAGCTTTTGTAAATCAAATTCTGGGAATTTCTAGAAGCCAAGTGATTAAACCAGGCTAATTAGCTTTATAAAATTAAAATTAATAATTGCAGCAACTATCTTAAGAACAGCAATCAAATGACAGCAAAAGAGAATAATTACAGGATCTATTTAGGAAAACAAATATTACCATTTCGAAATGTAATGTGAAAACCATGACTGAAAAACTTTGGAAACTATGTGCTAGAATAAATGTTCATTTCCTAAGAAAATAGATTAAATCATTAGAGACTCTGTGTGAATTAGAGCAGAAATTAGGGCTACAGTGTTCTGCCTTAGAATTTTTGAAGCAATTTTATTTAGTAATTTAAGATTATTAAAAGCTCTACTCAGCTAAATCTTCCATTACAAGAAGTGTTATGTTTAACAATAAAGATGAGAATTTGAGAAAGTATTCCTCTGAAAAAATTTACTCTTACCAAATTTAAAATGACTAAAATGTTGCTAATGCCTAGAATATGAATTCACTTTTCAATATGTATCTTGAAATAAAGGGAACTGCAAAGGATTTTTTTTTCTAGAGAACTTTGCATACTTCATTAACTGAGGATTATGTTATCAAACATATTAGCAATCATGAGAATTTCACGGCCATAAAAATGTGTTCAGAGTTTGATCAAATAATAGTCAAATAATGTGAAAATATTGACTACGTCAAATCTCATGAATCTTTTATCAATAGATTCGATAAGCTCTATCAGACTACATTTAAAGAAAAGAATTTGTTTTGTGCTAAGAATTTAGATTACTACTTTCCTTAGTATCAAAGAGAGAGAAAGAATATATTGGTTAAACTGAGATAGAATGGAGAGATGACTAATCTTTTGTATGAGATCTATCAAAATGAGCAGGAGGAATTAATGAGATTACTTACCAAAGTCAAGAATAGTAACTTTGAGATTCTTGAAGAGATAATGAAATTCATGGGGTAAAAGGATGATATTACTTCAAAGATATTAGATGTGATGAGAAATGAATAATTTCAAAGAATTAATGACTAAGAACTCAAAGAGTTAATTAAATATATTTAACAGATTGTTGGCCAGAAGCAGCCACAATCTCAAGTCAAATCTGAAGAATCTTCTTTATGAGATTATATTGTTGTCTGAATTGAAAGTTTGAGAAATTAAAATTTATAATGATAACATGGATATTCAGTTCTTACTTTTTTAATTTGGATTTAAATAATAATTAATTTAACTTTATTTTTCCCATATTTTTATATTTAAGTATCTAGGGGTTTTGGGGTTTTGGGG